ATCCAGCGAAATACATCTCTAAGACAAGGTATCGATGGGCTGGTCATATAATGAGAACGACAGACGACAGATGGACACTAAGAACTCTGGGATGGATTCTTCGATAAGCAAAACGCCCTTGAGGGAGGCCACCGACCAGACGGGCTGACGTGTTCGTTGCACAGATAGACCAGCTGTAATCTCAGCTGGTAACGAGTAATGGACCTGGACCTCGCGAATGTCGCCGCCGCACTTCAATACCATGACGTGAATGACGCCAGCGAGAGGCAGAAACGGATGGAAACAGTGCTGTGGCCTGCACGACAAGTGAAGACAGGCCATCTAAGTATCTAAGTAAGAAGTATTATTTCCTTTCATCCATCATATTACAGAAAAATCATTGCTTATTAGTGAAAAGGAAGAATCAAAATGATGCTGCGCGATAAATTGACCATATCTTCCATCCATCTAACTTTGACCTTTACAAGAAATCTTGTTAAAATGCGAGTGCCCCAAAATATGTACCTACCGTTCGAAAATTAGTCACTTAGGTTCAGCGTACCAAGTAGTCCCAACATGAATTTCACACGTTTTTCTTCTACAAACTGTTTAAATCAGTACCCATAGTGCTTTATGCAACGCTACAGCTATGAATAACTTTGTACCGCCCCATCATATTGAAGAAAAATATATGATTATTTTCCAGACTATGAAGCCTGCTCTTTATGTAGGCAAGGTCTAGAATTGATTGTGGTGCGAAAGAATTATTAGCGATCAAACAATGGGCTCATTTCCCGGGATACCAATTATTCTGAATAATATACTAGATATTTAAAGCATAACATACAATGAAGAGACACATGCGAGGAATGTCTATTTGCACCTAACCCTTTCTTCAACGATGGAATGACAAAACTGTTGGATCAAAAATAATTATTAGAAACTCACCAGCACACTGTTCAAAAGACTTTGCTCCTAGACCCTTCACTCCTTTCATTTCTTCTCTTGACTGTATCCTTCCCATTCGTTCGCGAAGGGCAACCAAACCAGCAGCAGTTTTCTTGTTCAAACCGCAAACCTTCCTGAAAAATAAAGATTATACAAGAGCTTCCCTAAGTGCGAGAAACACATACTCCAGAAGTTGAGCAGATGCCACATTGACGTCAACACCTCTCATGGACACGCATTCTCTCACAACTAATTCAAGCGCTTCTGAGAGCTTCTTTGCATTTACAGAGTGCTAGAATATACAAAAAGAGATTCTCTAATTAAAGGTTTAATTTTAATTAGATGGTTACTTGATACATTCCCATTCCAAGATGTTTCGGCTCAATTTTTACATATTCTGCCATAGGATCAATCAATCTACGCCCAATCGACACTGGAACAAAGATGGTACATAAAAAAATTACTTTCTTAACTTTAATCTGAATTACCAGCGCTTCTTTGAGTCGGAGGCATATTCGGCAAATCCTCTTCCGCTAGCGGAGTTATACTGTATTTCGATGCTCCGTTTTCTGGGACGGTGCTACATGCATAGATATGGAGGGAATATTCGAAAATGAAAAGTATCAATGCTTACCAAAACCTAACAATGTGCGTCCCAAACTTCCCGCATCGGATCATTGTAGCAACAGCCATTTGAGTCTCCAACGATGCTTTGCCATTTCCGATAGCAAAAACAACACGACCGTCTCCAGCTCGATTAACCCACTCTCTTAGGAGGGTTTCACCTCGCTGATCGAATGATTTTCCATTCAATCCAAATTCTGCTGTTTCCACCACGCTGCCTAGTACAGCAGTGGTCAATTAGAGTAGTTCATTAAATAAATCTATATTTAAATTGAAACAATTCAGATTTTATGTATGAAAATCTATCAAAAACGGCTTTAGCGCTGTTCAATTACTAAAAACTCAAGTACCGAGAATGGTTACATGAAGACAACCTGAATAAGCCAATTCTGCAACTTTTGTCGAAATTGATACAAATTTCTAATCGTCAAAAGTTTTCAAAGTATACCACGTTTTAACCAAAACAAGTTCAGCAGTTGGCTTCGTTTTAATATCACTGTGCAATAGCATAATCTCCAAAGTAGTAATATCTTCCGGCACCCATCATTTACGAGTGAGTTGTTATTGGCCCATATCTTCAACTTCAGAATGGTCTGCTTATGGAATTTATTGTAGTCTGCTGTGCTTGATTATTTACCTTAAACAGCTTAGAAAACAAAGAAGAGGTTAGTTGGGTTCATTTCTAGTACTTTCAACACGGCGAACTACCACTCTATTCGTGAGTGGTTGTGTCTGTATATGCTTTTCACCATACCGCACTGATTCAAGAAGT